AAAAATGCCATATTATTTTTACATCAATAAACACATTTTTATTTCTACTGCGTGAATTGTCAGACTTTATAAAATAAATATGATTGAATCAACAAGAAATCTCTTTTAAAAACAAACATATTTTTGTTGTTGACCCAGCTGCCAAATTTGACAGCTTACGTCAAAACCATGAAAGCTCTTGTAAATTCTAAAAGATTTTCTTTTTGATTTAACAATCCATGGGTTTTTAGAAACAAAAATACTGGATTGTTGAAACAATAATGATTTCTTTTTGCAGCCAAAACAAAATGAAATTCTTATTGATTTTACGTCAAATATTATTACTTTTAAAATATTTTTTTCTGCGTGCAAGTGGTGTTGAATACTTGTCACTGATGAAGTCTGCAAGTAGTGGACGAAATACGCGTATCCTTCAAAAGATAAGCAATTATAACGGAATTTAAAGGAAATGAACCAACACACACACTCAGATTTTGTTTTCGTGTTCGGTAAATTTTACCGAAATCAGAACAGCGTTCGGTAAAACTTTGACCTTCATTTTAAAGGCTGTTGAATTTGAAAATAATTTCAAAACATGTTCAATCTTGTTTAAATGATCAAATCTTGTCATTTTAGAGGAGATTTAGTTTCAAAGTAGCTGAAAAGCAATTGAATTGAATTGCATAAATTTTACCGAACAGTTCAGCTGTTCAGATTTCGGTAAAAATTACCGAAATCGGCGATAATTTCTTAGTGTGCACTCAAGGCTCTTCATAAAGAGATTCCGTTAAGAGGTTTGACAAATTTAAAGGATTGAGTTAGTTATTTTTGTGAGTAGATAATGCAGATGATAATGATTTTTATCCTTTTTGAGATATCAACGATATGCACTAGTAGTTTGCACCTAATTTCATTTCATATTAATATTACGCATTCATATTCATTCTACAATTAAACTGTCTAGAGGTCTGCCATTTTCCATATGGGATTAATTATAGGAAGTAAAGACAGCACAGTTTCGTATCATTTTTAACCTTTAAACTGTAAAGGTGTGCAGTGGATCAATATGAATTTCTTTGAAACTAGTTATGTACTTGAAACTGATTTTATGAGAAATTGATGGACATTGTCTTTCATATTTTTTTTTTTAACTCTTTATTTGTTTCAAATTCAAAATAAATTACATTTCATTTTAACCTAGGTGCTCCAGTTACTACAGTAACTTACCAGTCTTAATTTTTATGATATATATCTAAGTATTTTTACATTGTTCCTGTCTTGGAAATTCAGTATTTTAAACAGGTTTTTTAATCCTGCATGTCAGTATAACAATTGATATCTTAAAACTAAAAACTAAAACTAAATCTTATCTAAGTATAAAGAGAATTAATCGTTGCTATTGAGGATTGCAACGATTTTTGCCTGAAATTATTAATTATTTTGTTGGACATTTGTTCTAAAGTCTCAACATTCGAAATTCTATGTACTTCGGTAGTACTGTACCAGGGAGGCAACTTCAAAATCATCTTCAGAACTTTGTTCTGAATCCTTTGAAGTGCTTTTTTTCCTGGTAGTGCAACAACAAGACCATATTGGCACAGCGTAAAGCATGGCCGGTCTAAAAACTTGTTTAAATATTAGAAGTTTATTCGTCAGGCACAGTTTGGATTTCCTGTTTGTAAGAGGATACAAGCATTTTATATATTTGTTACATTCGGCTTGAATGCCCTCAATGTGACCTTTAAAAGTTAATTTTTGGTCAAGTAAGAATCCAAGATATTTCACTTGGTTTGACCAAGAAATTGGAACTCCGTTCATAGTGAATATGTGACTACTACTAGGTTTCAAAAACGAAGCTCTAGGCTTATGTGGAAATATTATAAGTTGAGTTTTGGAAGCGTTGGGAGAAATGTTCCATTTTTGTAAATAAGAAGAGAAAATATCTAAACTTTTCTGCAGTATGCTGCAAATAACACGAAGACTTCTTCCTTTAGCGGAAATGCCTGTGTCATCAGCGAACAAAGATTTGTGTCAACCCTGAGGCAAATCAGGGAGGTCCAAAGTGAAAATGTTATACAATATAGGCCCAAGAATGCTGCCCTGAAGAACTCATGCACTAAAAGGTAGTCGATTGGATTTGGAATTTGGGTAATTAACCTGCAGAGTTCTGTCAGTTAAATAATTCTGAACTAATTTCATAATGTAAAGTGGAAAATTAAACTTTTTCAATTTAGCAATCAAACCTTCATGCCAAACACTGTAGAATGCTTTTTCTAGAAGAGCAACTCCAGTTGAGTTCAGATGTGTTTGAACGAATTAAATTGGTAACTCTTAAGAGTTGATGAGTAGTTGAATGCCCATGGCGAAATCCAAACTGCTCATCTGCAAAAATTGAGTTCGTATTGATGGGAAGCATCATTCTATTTAAAATTATCTTTTCAAAAAGTTTACTTATTGAAGAAAGCGATTTTAATTATTGGACGATAGCTAGAAGCTTCAGCTGGATTTTTATCCGGCTTCAAAATTGGAACAACTTTTGCATTTTTCCATTTATCAGGAAAGTTTGCCAAATGGAAACATCTTTTAAATTAATTTTACCAAGAAAGACAAGGTACTCTCTGGGAGTTTTTTGATGAGGATATAGAAAATTCCATCATCACCTGGAGCTTTCATATTTTGAAACTTTTTAGTTATAGACCTTACTTCGTCCAAATCAGTCCCCCAGGAATCATCAGAAAGAAAATATTCAGATAATCCCGAGCAACCTGATTCTCAATAGGACTAGTAAGACCCAAACTGAAATTATGGGAACTCTCGAATTGCTTAGCAAGTTTCTGAGCTTTTTCCAAATTTGTGATCAAAATTTTACCACCTTCTTTAAGCGCTGGAATATGCCTTTGAGATTTTTTTAAAATTTTTGTCAGTTTCCAAAAGGGTTTGGAACTCGGGTCTAATTTAGAAATATTATTTTCAAAAGTTTTGTTCCTCAGGGCAGAGAATCGCTTTTTAATTTGTTTTTGCAAATCCCGCCAGATAACTTTCATGGCAGGATCGCGTGTTCTTTGATATTGTCTCCTACGGACATTTTTAAGACGGATCAAGAGCTGAAGATCGTCGTCTATTATAATTGAATTGCCTTTGATTTGTGGATGCTTAACCATACCACCTTAAGAACTCAGTATGACTTAAGAACTCAGTCACAGTAATTAATTGAAAGATTTTTATGCCAACCAATGTATGAATCTGTATTATTACAAGCACAGTGATACTTAATGCCCAGGGAAGTTGAGAAAATTTCCAACCTGGGAATGGAACATACTGAGTTCTTAAGGTGATACGATCCAGCGTCCACAGGCACTTTCACTGCCACTTCGAGTTTTCTAGGGAGTTAATTGTTATTGTATGTTTTCCGGTAGCAGATAATGACCTCCTGGAAAAAGCGAAGTGGCACCAGAGCCCGAGGTTCTAGATCGTATCACCTTAAAACAATTTCTATGTAAAGATCCCTTCCAACCGTCCGCGTTTCTTATAAAAAATCTGGGACTTTGAACAGTTATCTGAAGTCTATGACTTGGAAAATTGGTGCACTGCAATGCTCAGTTCTGTTTGCAAACTTTGTAAACATATCAAACAGAAATGAATAAATAGTGTATTACTGAATTATAAGTGGGGATGGGTGGCATTCACGGGACCTCCCTTAGCTCAGTCGGTAAAGGCGCAGCTACAAAGCAAGACCATGCTGCGGGTGGCTGGGTTCAATTCCCGGTCCGGTCTAGGAATTTTTCGGGTTGGAAAATTTCTCGACTTCCCTGGGCATAGATGTATGATTGGACTTGCCACACAATTATACCAATGCAAAAATGGTACAGGCATCGAAAGCTCTCAATTAATAACTGTGGAAGTGCATCTAGAACACTAAGTTGAGAGAACGCAATTAGCTAATATGCTATATGCAATAAGCTTGAAATGCGAAGAAGAAGAAAGAAAGAAAGAAAGAAGGGTGGCATTCACTAGCCCGAGAATACCCTCCACATGCTAGCCTCTTCACCAACCATACATCAGTACACACTTATCGAGTCAGTAATATTTACCGAGTTTTTGAATTGCGGAACTCTTCGGTAAAATTTAAAAAATTCAAAGTTGAGAAAATGTGTTACGAAAATTTACTGACTTATTTCTGTTAACCCCGTGTAATGATGAAAAATAAAAACTTTCGATTTTATCCAATCTTTACGAATAACAGTCATTTGAATTTTAACCGAGTCAGTAATCCAAAAATCCAGTAAAAATACTAACTCCTGTAAAAAAATCTAAGCGTGCATACAGAAGCAGCGGAGCTCCACACTTCTCCATCGAAACAGCACCGCAGCTGGGCTGCTAGTGCTATGAAATAAAAAGGACATCGACTTATTACCACTACCTACTTCTCTCCCTTCCGCTTTCAGAATTCGCCGATTCGGTGTCTCTCGTTGTGTTTTCTGCTGAGACTGAGCAATATTCGATACCGCGAAACATCTCCGCAGTAATGTTTTCTTTCGGCGCAGGAGATGTGCGGTAATCAAAAGTTAAGAATGTAGCTAAACATTTACAATAACATTCTACCAAGTTTCCCTAACGCAGTCACCGAATATTGATACCGAGCACTGGGCATGCCAGATGGTACCTATCTTTATGCCTTTTGATGCAAATTTTAAGCCCTTCCTATTAAGAGAATTATGCCAAAAAAAATACTGCCGAATTATCTTAATTGAGCTCAAGTAAGAGCTTGTATACAAGACATATCGTCCAGAATTGGATTGTACTACATGGACACCGACAGAGCACCTCAAAACAGAACTCTCAAATTGCTTCCGAATTTCAACCTATCAAAGTTTTTCACTGTTAACGAGTTGAGAAATCAATTAAATATTTACTATACTTTTGCTGTGACATCTAAACTACCTTTCGTAATCCTACGTCAAATCTACGGCCGTGCCTTGGATACAACCTCTTATTTTTTCATAGCGCCCAATGAAACTCACCCGTCTATGTATCTCGTAATGAAGGATCCTTCCGATACTTTGTTGTCGGAAGTTACCCTTTCTTCTCGATCAGCAATGAAACTGAACTGCCTGAAATATGTTGTAACCTAAAAAGAAAACAATGACAGTGAATTTAAAAAAAAACATAAATTTGAAAACATTTTAATGTTTCCAGCTGAACATATTTGTACCACACACTTTTTGCCTTAACGACGGCATTTTTTCAATGTTGGGCTAACAAGATCGGGATCAGACGGTTATTTTTTTTTTATACAATTCACAATGGACATAATTTTCTCAAATAATGATACTGTGAATTGAAACTCTTGTACTTTATTCGCGTTGATGGCATTGGCTGGCATTGGCTGGCATAGAGTGACAGTTCTCTAGGGGATTTTTCAGAGGAGTGAAAGAATATGGAGCCGTCCGCTATGTTTCACGCACAGAATGACAGTTGTTTATGGAATTTCACCATAAGAGTAAAGAGTTACAGTACCGCCGTCAACGCCAATAGACGACTAAACCGATGGATTTCACGCTATTTCATAACTACCCAAATTTGGGTAGAATCCACACAGATTGGTCTAAACTGAACCTACCCAAAAATGGGTAAACTATGTTAGGAGTGACAAGTTGACAAATGAACAAAGTCGATTGGATTCATGTCGATGTTGTCCATTTGTCAACTTGTCACTCCCAACATAGTTTACCCATTTTTGGGAAGGTTCAGTTTTGACCAGGCCAGTGACAAGGCCTATACCAACAGCAGCGTTTGACAGTAGGCAGAATGTCCCGGGCTCAAATCATTTATTTTGCTGTGCTGGGCCCGCTGTCACTGTATAACATGTTGCCTACGCGTCTGCCACTGGGCTGGTTTTGACCGATCTGAGTGGATTCTACCCAAATTTGAGTAGTTTTGAAATAGCATGTTTTAGTGCAAGCACACGGAACCGAAAAATTACCCAAAATTAAGTTCTTTTCACTCATCTCCCATGTTCCGTTCAATAAGCTAATTTTCAGTAAACCGCTTATAGTAGTTTACATTTGACAACGGCAAAAATAATTACTTACTCGTGAGTATTTGTATTTGTATTCTTTATATTTGCTACCCAAAATTAAGTTCAATTGACTCAAATTTGAGAATATCTCATATAATCACTAGTAGCTTATTGAACGATAGTCATGAGAAAGTCGAATCTCTCGTTCCGTTTTTGACAACAACAAAACGTGAAGGGCCTCGCACATTAGATCCGGATGGGACGCGTTGCGGCAAAGTGACAGCTAAATCTTTTGTCTAACTGTCAAATTTACGTCAACGCAACGCAAACGGATCTAATGTGGGTGGCCCTTGAGAGTGGGATACAAAACTCAAAATTACCCAAAATTAAGTAGAAAGAACTTAAATTAAGGGGATTTTGTTTCTCTGTGCACCCACCCACACGAATTGCCGGTGAAAAGTGACGTCATTTGACATTGGGCGCCTTGAAGACTGATCGTTCGCCCTTCGTCCGGGATGCGAACGAAGGGCGGACCGCCCCGCTAGAGTAATTTCATCCGCTGGCCTACCAAATGGCGCTCCGGGATCCGGACGCCCGGCTACCAAATGTCGGATGGAACTTAGCCATTTTTTTGTGATTTTTTTTCGCGGCGACTGATTACGTGGTCAGTCATTTTTTCATATAGTGTTTTTTTTTATCCGCGTCGTGAAATTGGCCTCCGATGGCCATCTTCAAGCAAAGTTGATGGTAAGTACTGAACAGTTTGTTATTAAGTGTAATTATTTTTAAAAATTGATTCGCTAGGGGAATCCGGCTGAGTTAAGCATTCTTACTGATGCAACGCATCAATAAGGATGTTTAATTCATCCGGATTCCTCCGGTGGATCAATTTTGATGTAATTGTTTTCCAAAATTGATCCGCTTGAGGAATCCGGCTGAGTTTAGCATCTTTATTGATTCGTTGCATCAGTAAGGATGCATAACTCAGCCAGATTCCTTCAGCGGATCAATTTTGGAAAGTAATTACAAATAATAACAGACAGAACCAAAATTTTGATGATTTTTTAAAATACTTTTTTCAGCCGGCTGCTTTCACTAATTCCGTTATTAATTAATTTATTTATTTATTCGTCAATCAATCAAATCGTAGACTACATATTAACATTAGGACTTATGTTCTACGACTTCGCAGGGTTCTGAAATATATTTTTAATTCTGTTGAGAGCATATTTAGGTCAATCATTTCACAATGATGATTATAAACAGTCATCATCTGATTTACAGGTCCAAATTTAGCGTAATTGGTCCGATGGCGATCTACTGCGAACAACTGTCGATTGCGTAACTGTCGGGAAGGTGCATAAAAATTTGACAATAGATCAGCTGAGTCAATGCGTTGCGAAATGATATTGTTTAATAAAGAAATCTTTGCGTAATCCCGACGTTCTTTCAATGTTTGAATGCTGATCAGCAAAACAACGTGCTTCATATGACGGGAGAGGAAAAGCCGTCCAACGTAACTTACGTAGTGCATATAATAAAAATTGCTTTTGGATTGACTCTATTCGTTCTTCATGCTTTTTCGTATAGGGTGACCAAACAACGCTACAATATTCTAAAATTGACCTCACATAAGCAACGTAAAGTGATTTTATTGTATAAGGAACATTAAAGTGGATACCGAAACGTTTAATAAAATTAAGCATATTGCCTGCTCTATGTTTTATTGTGTTATAATGGTCCACAAATGTCAATTTAGAATCTAGAATAACACCTAAATCTCTTACATTTTCACATTTTTGAACATTTACATTACCTAATGTAATACACAGATTTGTTTGTGTAGTTTTCTACTGTACGTTATAAGATTACATTTTTTTAATATTTAGTTTCAATAAACTTTTACTACACCATCTGTAAAAAACATGTGTTTCATTTTGAAACACATTCATATCGTTATCGCTTCCTATTTCTGAAAATATCTTCATGTTATCAATGCATATAAGCACCCTGATATTTTTTAAAATAAGAGAGACGTCATTAATGTACAAAATAAAAAGAAGGGGGCCTAGGTACGAGCCCTGGGGAACCCCTGACGTGACATGAATTGGCTTAGATGTTTTCTCGTTGAATCTTACAATTTGCTGGCGATCAACTAAATACGATTTAATCCAGGTCAGGAGCTTCATTTCAATTCTCATTTTTTCTAATTTAAAAATCAACATTGGGATATCAATTCTGTCAAACGCTTTGCTGAGAGAGTTTTGGAATGCACGAAATGATAGCAATCCCACGATAGTTTCGAATATCGGATTTTTTACCTATTTATTTTTTAACTAAGATTTTTTTCCATTCCTTCGGGAATATACCAGATTCAAGCGACATATTAAACACCCAGAATAAAGGGGTTGTGAGTTCAGATGCTAAGTTTTTCATAAAAATAGGAGGGATTCCATCTGATCCTGAACATTTAGTGGCGTCCAAATCTCGTAGGTCATTCCAAATATCATGAACCAAAGTGTTATTAACGCCAACAGTAGTTGAAAAGTTAGGAAAATAAGAAAAATATTCATAATCACGATCATTATCTGAAAACTTCGTGTATGTTTCTTGAAAAAAAAAGTGGCGAAAAGATTACATATATCATCAGAATTATTACCTTCCTTTTTATCCAATGTCATTTTTGATGGAAAGCTACACGATTTCATTTTAGTTTTGATGTAATTGAAAAAGTTTCTTGGACATGATTTAATTTCATTCTCAGTTTTTATGTTATACTCAGACAGTGCCAAAGAAATTGTATCATTAAGTTGATCACAAATACTTAAATACTTTTCGAGATTATCACGATTTTTATGTTTTCTGTATATTTTGTGAGCTTTTTGTTTACGATTTTTCAAATTGATGATATGATTATTGAACCGAACCGGATATTTGGAGGATTAATTGAGTCGTCTCCTTTTTAATGAAATTTCCTCGTGAATTACGTCAAACAAAATTTTATAAAAAACCTCCGTTGCACATTCAACATTTACCTGATCCTTCAACATGGTTTTCCAATTTAGTCCATTGAATTTATTTTTAATATTATCATAATTAGCATGTTTGTAGTCGAACACATTTTCATACTCACTGTCGTTGGGGTGTTGACTGTCATGAACAAATATGGAATACTCGATTGCTGTGTGAAATACTGATGAATACTCCATAAAAGAGAAATAGATTTACTTACACAGAAATCTTCATGTATATTTGTTAACAAGAAATCTAGGAAACAATTCTGTTGGTTTCTTTCATGGTTTATTTGGTTTAATCCTAAAAACGCCATTTTTTCAAAAATAAATTGTAATGTTTCGTTTTTCCCAATGACTGGGAGAAGAAAACTCTCATTATCTGAATCAGGAATAAAATCAGCATTGCGGTGATTGAAATCTCAAAAATATAAATTTTGAATTCAGGGGGAAATTGAAATACGATTTCTTCAGCAATTTGGAAAAACGTTTCATACGAGGACTTACAAGCGTAGTCTGAGGGAACATAGACTGTGGCAAAAATATGAGTTTCACCAGCAATATTTGTCTTTACCCACACATGCTCAAATTCTTTTACTTTCGACGAGACAATAAGTTCTGCAATAAATTCTGAAGAAATAGCAATAAGAACTCCACCGCCTGACATTCTTTGGGTTTCGAGTAAGTCACGATCATCTCTGAAAACATTATAATCATTTCCAAAAGTTTCCTCACTTTTAATGTTCTCGTTCCATGTAGTTTCAGTGCCCAAAATAACTGAAAAAAAGGAGCTCAGTATATTTTTATAAATTTCATTCATTTTTGTTGCGCTTTTCATACGTTTGACAATATACCACAATTTCCATAGAATGTGTTTCAGATGAAATTTTTGTTTGTTCGTCAGAGCTTAGAATATTATTAAAAATATCGGATTCATTACCAGTCACATCCGGTTCGTCACAGTCTGCCTCAGTGCGTCAGGTCCATCTCCTGCGAAACGTCGTGATCCTCGTCAATTTCATTCTCAGCCGCATCCGGTACGTCACAGACTACTGCTGAAGAGAGCATCAGGTTAAGCAGAAACACATTTTCTTCCTCCAAAGGGTGCGTCAATTGCGTGGAAAACACGAGTGCCTGCATGAGCACGCCTCATACGATGAAGCTGAAGTTGACCGGTTGGTTGGATGAGCTGTTATCCTATATTCCTCCTAGGTGGAAATTCAATACTCACCGGGTACGGGTTCAATATCTCTCCCCTTCGAAACTGAATTGTAGGCCGATAGTTCTGATCTTTCGCTGCCGCAAGAAGTACTCTGTCAGGCGGAAGCAAGTGGT